AACAGTTTCAGTTTTTATTCTTCAACTTTCGAGAACTCTTTTTTTTCCCCAGTTGTTGAAGGAGAAGTACACAGGGTACAATGGAAAAGTTTCCTTTTTTATAAACACACCACCTTTCTTGCCTAAGGAGTATATGGCTGACCTTTGACATGACCAATGCCGAACACTTAAAATACGTATTTGCAATTTGTGTATTCATCAGTTATGCCGGAAACAAATATTAGTCTTTGCAACTTATTAAAAAAAACACTGAATAATGCGATTTTTTTCTTATGACATACAATCTTCACTTTTCACCCTAAGAAATTAATATCTAAAAAAACAGGGTTTGTCCAAGTCAGATCATTAAATATCAGAGCATGCATTTTGATTACCCTGAGAAAAATTACCACTTGAATTGATACCAAAAAAGAAAATACGACATGGAATGGAAGACGGTTTTGAATCTCACACTTTAGAAAGCGCCAGGATCTGTTTACAATATCTTAACTATAACAATCACTGAGCCATTCATTTTTGTTCTTAAAGATACTATTGCAAAGTAATAGCTTTATTTACGTTTTTGTTATCACAAGTAAGTGGTTCTGTTGGTTAAAGTCTGATGACTTCTGGAGATGCCATAATTCACTGTCTTGTAAAATACTTGCTCCGTGAGAATCTCTGAAGTGGGGGCGATTAAGGTAAGGCCAGGACAGCTGTTTAGAGGCAGGCCAGTGTCAGAACACCAGATGATAGAGCAATACTTGGAATTAAGGAAAACTAAACTCACTTCACGTAACAGCCCTTGGGGAGGTGGTCTGTCTTTGCTGCTTCCCTGAACAAATCAGGCCACTACTCCTGGTTAGAGAGAAATAGAGTGCATGACTTTCCTGCGGTAACAACAGATCTGTTAGGAAAAAGTAGATAAACGTGATGAAACTCCTTTAATCATCAGTGATAGAGCATAAATTTTAAACCAATTCAATTAAAGGTCTCAATGCTGAATTCTTATTCTCATTATTACGTATTTCCATCTGCATCTCTGGGGATACTAGAATTTTACTGAAGCGTAGATGGTGGCTGAGCAGTAATTGTATGGGTTTTACAGTTAAGACCGTACATCAGATTGAGACGATTGCTTCTGTAGAAAAATTCCTGATTTAGTTCTCAAACTGCAGAACACACTAAAGGTATCTCATGCAGTAGCAAAATTAGCAATTTATATTGCTCTAGAACATACAGTCGCCAAAGTGAAGACAAGCCTGACCCACAAGTGAATGACTCCAGACCACTAATCTTAAGACTAGAGGTAGCTGAGACACCACAGTAACAGCACCAGCCACTTGAGGCCTCTCAACACAGTTCCTTGCTTCAGGAAAAGACTAATTTCAAGGCAAACTGGTTGCAAGGACAAAGTTTGTTGTGACTAGGCCTTTTTTTGGTCATTTGATACATATGCTGGGAAGTCTGACGCATCGCTCCTGACGGCTCTGGGATCATAGTGTTCTTTACAGTGTATAGAGTGACCCTTGTAACAGCCTAAACAGGGTAATCTTGTGACAGAAACCTTGTATAGAGTGACCCTTGTAACAGCCTAAACGGGGTAATCTTGTGACAGAAATCCTGTGCTAGCAGAATGGAGGAAAATTCAGGGAGAAGAATACTCAGATTTTGAGGAATCTCTAGAAAAACCTTGCCTTGACACCCTCCCCCCTTTTTTTTTTAAATCACTGTGGTTTGCATTATGAAGAAAAAAACCCTTTTTCAATAATACTCATTTATACAGCTTCTAAAAGATGTAACATCACCTTAGAGCCAAACACTAAGCAGGCAATAGAAATGCTTTTTTTTTTTCCCAAGAAAGAAAAAACACCTGTCCTTATAAAGCTGTTCTTCAGGTGTATACACTAAGCTGGACATAATGAAAAACTTAACTTGCATTTAAGTTCAGAACTGAAAAGAATGCCAGTGCAGAGTCTTACCTTTGTTTTTCTATTAAAAAAGACAGCAAGCAACAATTACATTCTTTGTTTATTATGGTTTCTTATCCAAGGCAATTGAAAAATTGCTTAACTTCATGCTTGTAACTCTTCAGGATCCCTGCTAGTGTTCATCTGCTGCAGTATTTTGACATATATTCCGTGATGTTTAGTGGCAAGATATAATCCAGTTAGAACCTGTACAAGTACACCCAAACTCGTCTTTCTGAAGACAGGCTGAGCAGTTGTGAGCCAGAAGCGTAATAGATTTTCTTTCCCTGGCAAGGGAGATGAAGAATACCTAAACAACATAAACAGTGGTAGAAACTTACTTTTTCTTTTTCCCATCCAATTTAAGCATCAAGATTTAACATTAAAGTCATTAAAAATATTTAGGTAGATATTAATTCTCTCCTTCCTCTCCTAAATTCACCTGGTGGTACTGGGCTCTCTGGATAAGTGCTATAAACCATGCTGACCACGTACCATGTCTCGCCAAGTCCCACCACCCCCTCGCTGTGCTCCGACCCAATCCACAGTTACACCTGCCAGGGAGCCTGGTACGGCCGCCCAGCCAAACAGCCCCGAGCAGCAAGCCTCTCCGCTCTGCAGGACGGCAGCCACGCTTTCACACACCCAGGCACCTCGCGGGTAGCTTGTAAGGTTCCAGCTAAAGGCAAGTGCTTTACAGTGTATCAGTTTGCAGACCTTGTTTCACTCTGGAGGGTTGGTGTAGCTCTTACTAACTTTGCGTTGTAATTAGATGATCTTAATGTAAATCCCCTTCCATGTACTAGAACGTACAAGAAGATAGGTGTGCATAGACAAAAAATCCACAGAATTTAAACTGGGAACTGAAGATTTGACCAATGAATATATTTCATTCACTGCAGGTTAATAAGACATACCTGGCTGCAAGGCTTGCGTTGATGGGGAGAGCCAGGAAAACAGGATAGAGACCACCCACAACACCCCCTATCAGTCCTCCTCTGACCACAGCACAGACCTCGCAGTTCAGCTCACCTGCATGACAAACAATATTTCACCGTCAATATCCGCACAGCTCCACCACATCAATTTATAAGCTGCGTGCAGCAACATGGAAACAGGCGCTTGACAGAAACGGCCAAGCTGTACAGGTATGCAAGAAATTTTGAAAAAAGAACTCTTCCTTTTGCAAAAAAAAAAACCAAAAACACCAACACTCTCATTCCAACCCATGAAGAATTTATCACTCTAAAGTTGACCTTCAAATGAAATCATACAGACGGGGGAAACTGAACTGCTTTGTTGCAGTCACTTTTGCATGACTTTGAGTGAAAAATGCTAAAAATCAGTGATGCATAACAGAATTTTTTTTATAAACATATATAAATAAAGACACGTATCTCCTTTCCCACTCAACTTCAAGAACTCACTGCTGCCTAATGCATTAGATAATCTGTTTTTCAAACTCTGCTTTACAAACAGGTTTTTCAAGACCACAACAGTTCAAGACCACTGTTCTGCGGAGAGGAAAAGCTCCTCTAGTGTTACATTGTGTACAGACAGCAAAGCCCTTTCAAAAACAAGGAGTAAGGAGGTTTTTACCTGAAAATAAAGGCTCACGCACAAAAACTTCATAAACCGCTGCTGTTGAAAGAAACGGAATAACAGCCATTGGCAAAGCAGACACCAAGGAAGCTTTTCTGACGTGTAGGATGTTCCTGAAGAAGTTATTTGCCGCTAAGCCGCATAAGCTTGAATTTGCTGCAAGGAAGTATGACCCATGATTACAAAGGTTCCTGTGAAAGAAGGAAAGTCGCTTCAGCAATTGAGAACTGTAAAAAAGTTTGGTTTACTCAGTGCTACAATTCACTTCTGAATATCCTACAGTAAGAGGTAAGAGATGTAAATCTCTCGCGGGCGCACAATGGAGAGTAACTACTTTCAAAAGCAACCAGTACAGCATCCTTCGCTGTATGCCCAAGTTTACACACACCTCAAGAACGAAGTGACAGAAAGGCTGAGAAGCCTTTTCTACATTTTTTTTTTTTTTATGGCTAATGGAAACTTCATGAAATTTGCTCTCCTAATCAGCATGTTTCTAAGGAGAACGTTTTCTCAAAAGAAATTAAAACCAATACATATATTTATATATAATCACAGCTAGCTCCTGTAATCAGCTTTGTTTCTAGCCTGCTTACCCGAAAGTATAGATGTAGTTTCAACATAAGAGCTTACAGAACAGATCAGGTGGGACAACTGTGGCAACTGAGATCTGGCAATAACGACCTCAGCAGCTGCTGGCAGATCATTTGTAGGGATTCTGTAGGCTGAAGGGCTGTAAGCCTTCCTTGCGTGCATGGAACACGTGAATTTAAGGTCCTACCTTGCTAGGAGGTTATGCTAGTTAAAGGTTTACAGAACTGGAGCTTCTATTTTTCCCTTGATAACACAGGGACCAGATTCTGTTATCTACCATGTTTTTAACATATGGTTTAGAGCAGCTACTGCTGTTGCAATCTGTAATATGGTGAAGGCAGAATAGAACAAAGTCTGGTCAGAGATAGTCAGCATTTAATATCTTGACAAACAGTTCCCACTTGAGTACATTCCATCACAGCAGGTAACTCAAGAGAAGGAATGCGAAAGCCTGCCAATTTTACAAGCCCAATGAGCAGTTTGTGATTTATTTCATTTGACTCACAGAAGGAAGTTGTGCATTACCTTTAGCATTATACCTGGCACAGTCATTTGATTAGGGGAAACAACTCTTTGCTTCAGGTTTCCACAAATCTAAAATTCCCAGAATGACAACTATTGCCAGGCAAAGCAATTAACTGGAAAGCACTCCAATTTTGAGGCTGTGCCAGCATTATTATGTTAAAAGTGCATTTTTAAAATGCATCATAACTGGATTTATCGCCAAAGCCCCAAAGAAAATAAAATGCTTAACTGGTCACAAAATCTATGCTAGGCCAAATGTCATATTTATTTGCAAAATTATCAAATGTGACAATCTCTAAACCATTTAGCAATTAAAATATATGAATTTTAAAAATCCACCTACTTAAAATTCTTCTACGTTTTATTGCTTAGAATAACATTAAGCACTGACAAATCATACAAAAAAGACTTCAAAGATGTAGGTGCTAAACTTGCAAAACTTAAAACATTAAAAACATCCGACATCAATGACACCAACTATTTCTTATGTTGAATAGGAAAATGCTTTCATTCTTGGTACATACCAGATTTTCAAACATGAAAATAAGCTACTAAGAATTAAATTCTGATGCTATATAGCAAAAGAACTTTATTGGTCAGATATCTCTCTTTCTCTCTTGCCCTTATTTAGAAGCTATGTTTCTTTTTTTGTGGTTTTTTTTTTTTTTAAAATAAATTTGCTTTTCAAATCACCATTCTCCCAATACTAGATGTCACTCACAGAATGTCCCCAGAGTAGTTTCTGCAAACCAGCCATTTCATTCTGTTGGTGCCTTTACAATTATAGGCAGTGAAATGCATGTGTGCATATACATAAATGTGGAGGACAGACATTAAAATTTAGCAGCGTATTTAAGATTCCAAAATAGAGCAAATTAATGTATCCAGGACCAGCAGAATCTACTCAGGCTTACTGACGTACAGAACTGCTACACTGCATAAAAGGAAAGAAAAGGAGGATGGAAGGGTTGATTTTTGGGTTTTTTGTTTGGGGTTTTTTTTGGTTTCTGGTTTTGTTTTTTGTTTTTTTTTTTTTTGAGGGTGGGATGGGGTGGGATTTTTGTTTGTTTGTTTTAAATACTAGCTCCGTAGTGTTAAAAACAAGAGCTTTGGTGAACAGGAACTCTCTCAGTCTGACTGCAGCATGCTTCCTCTTCCCTTCCAGCCATTAGTGACCTCGCCTCTGGATACACAAACTTTAAGTCCTGCCAGGGCAGTTTCAAATAAAGGTGCACGCCCCTGGCAGCTATTTCTTTCCAAGGCCCAGCAGTCCTGGGGTATCAGAGTTTCTATCAAGATGTTACCACATCACCACCGAGGCATCTGCCTCCCCCTTAGCTCCCCAGCTCTTCTGGGGAAGGAGAAGTGTTGTAAGCTGAATGTGAGAGCAGCAGATCCTACACACAGCTGCACTGCTGACTGTAATGGGAGGGATAAAGCCTTGGCATTTTTCTCTCTCACCTGTGTGGGGAAGCCCTGTGTTACTACCGGCAGTTTGTTTAGCCAGCAATTTAGTCCTATTAAAAAAAATAAAAGAAGCTTCTGATTACTCTTATTTATACAGAATTTATCCAAGATGATACACAGGTGCAAACGGCTCCTTAAGGAGCCAGCTCAGGTTCAGTAAGGTTTTGCAGTGAAATGCAATATTACAAAACACAAAAAGGTTGTTTATGAGGCCCAGAAGGCATTTAGGTGTTTTTGTGCTGCACAGAACCCTGCTGGTGAGCCTGCATGACTCCGGCTGACTTGTCCACCATCACCACCTGGGCACCTCAGTCTTGCCTTCCTGAAACGGGGAGCAGCGCAGAACGAAATGCAGGAACTAGCAGGTTGCTGCTCACGCAGTTCTGGCCCCAGGCCAGCCCTGCTGGACACAAGATGACTCCTGCGGAATCACAAGAGTATCTGCCTTATGCTCTCCAACATTTCAGTTTCCTAGAAAATTTATTAGCTCTAGCACAGGACTGTACGAATGCTCAGAGCCAGTCAGGGCTGATCAGCCATCCCAGAACCTTAAGCATCGGCGAGCGTGTGCCAGAAACCAGCTGAGCAGGACCAGAGATAACAGTGAACTAACCATATTTAAAAAACGCAAAACAAGTTTTCTCTTCTGGACAATAATAACCATCTTCACAATTAAATATTCTTGTAACTGCAAGGAGGATTTGCAATACAAGAGTAAGGGAAAAGAAAAGTCTCCAGAAGACTTGAAATGTTTGATACATTTATCTTCATTTATTTTACCAGCACTTACTGATCTGCTTTAGGAAGCTCACTGAGCATCTTTTGTATGACTTCCATCCTCTTAAATCTTTCCAAATATAGTCTTTGCTGCGGAGAATCTAGTTCAAGAAACTCTCTTCCTGTCATCTTGAAGGCCTGGATCATAAGGAACAAATAAACAAGTGTAATCAAAGTTACACAGCCCCAGTATGTATCAAATAAACTTTTAGACTCTTTTGGCAATCACAAATGCATTTCCTATTTTTCATGGCAGAGTTTTCAGATGCAAAGGGCACAATCCAGCTACAGAAGTCTATGATATTTATGACTACATGAACCCTACCAAACTGCTTTCTTTAGTGATGTTGCAGCTGTGGTTTGACAGTTGCTCAACTTAAGTACTCGCTGTGATGAAAATGGACTATCTCACCCTCCAGGTACTCCTGCCTGACCATCTCCAACCCTGGGGCCATACAGCAGCTTGGATCAGGAAACACACAGATTAAAACTTCTCAGAGGAACAACGGGCAGTGTACTTGTTTTTTCCAGCTAGATCACCTTTTAAGACAATGATCCCTAATGACAGCAGCACAAAGGAAGACACTAACGGGACAACGGATTTTGGCAATACTCCAGGTTTAAATTGACTTAACTGTCAAATAGAACCGTAAGGAAAAAAACCAAGTAAATCCATTCTTTGAAAAGATCTAAACAAATGATGAAGACATCTACTCTGCTTTTATATTCCACAACTAAGGACTTTTTTGTAATTGGTACTCTTAGCCAGAGACATATATCAAGTCAGAAAGCGTAAGTTGTATTGGGTTTACATGGCAAGGTTTTGGAAGTGGGGTACAGGGGCTACAGGGGTGGCTTCTGTGAGAAGATGCCAGAAGCTTCCCCCATGTCTCAGAGAGCCAACACCAGCCAGCTCCAAGATGGACCCACCGCTGGCCAAGGCCGAGCCCATCAGTGACGGTGGTAGCGCCTCTGGGATAAAATATTGAAGAAAGGGGAAAAAAACCTGCACAACAGCAGCTGGGAGAGAGGAGTGAGAATATGTGAGAGAAACAACTCTGCAGACACCAACGTCAGGGAAGAAGGAGGGGAGGAGGTGCTCCAGGTGCCAGAGCACAGATTCCCCTGCAGCCCGTGGTGAAGACTATGGTGAGGCAGGCTGTCGCCCTGCAGCCCATGGAGGTCCACGGTGGAGCAGATATCTACCTGCAGCCCATGGAGGACCCCATGCCAGAGCAGGTGGATGCAGCTGAAGGAGGCTGTGACCCCATGGGAAGCCCATGCTGGAGCAGGCTCCTGGCAGGACCTGTGGACCCATGGAGAGAGGTGCCCACGCTGGAGTAGGTGGATGCACCTGAAGGAGGCTGTGACCCCGTGGGGGCCACACGCTGAAACAGTCTGTTCCTGAAGGACTGCACCCTGTGGAAGGGACCCACGCTGGAGCAGTTCGTGAAGAACTGCAGCCCGTGGGAAGGACTGACGCTGGAGAAGTTCGTGGAGTTCTGTCTCCTGTGGGAGGACCCCACACTGGAGCAGGGGAAGAGTGTGAGGAGTCCTCCCCCTGAGAAGGAAGGAGCGGCAGAGACAACGTGTGATGAACTGACCACAAACCCCATTCCCCATCTCTCTGTGCCGCTCAGGGGGAGAAGATAGAGAAAATCGTGAGTGAAGTTGAGCCCAGGAAAAAGGGAGGGGTGAGGGGAAGGCGGTGTTAGATTTGTTCTTATTTCTCATTATCCTATTCTGTTTAATTGGCCATAAATTAAATTAATTTCCCCAAAGTCTAGTCTGTTTTGTCCATAATGATAATTCGTGAGTGATCGCCCCATCCTTATCTCAACCCACGAACTTTTCATCATATCTTCTCCCCCTGTCCTGTTGATGGAGGGGGAGTGCGAGGGTGGCTAGGTGGGCCCCTGGCAGCCAGCCAAGGTCAACCCACCACAACAGCTTTTGATTAAACCTGGTATTTAGTGATTCAAATGTTTTTTCTAGATGTTTCTCCCCAGAGGAAAGTTTCGCAGACTTACTTTGCTAGTCATACTTACCTTAAGTTTCTTTTATAATTTGAAGCCTGTGTCCTACAGCCTATCTATAGGATTGTGCTTGCTTCGATTCAGGCTTGGCGGGGCGCAGGAGCAGCGGAAGCAGGAACAGGCGGCAGAACCGGGATCAGCGGGGCCGGTGACAGCCTTGAGGTCTCTCGCTTCTGCCCCGTCTAGGAGGAAGGTCTCCAAACCTGTTCTTTAAGTAAACCACAGTCATTACGTCATGGGGCTACACCATGACGTACACACGACCCTCCCTATCTCCTTGCACGCCGCTGTAAGGCAGCGGGAGGTCGCCAAGACCCCGGGGTCCGGTTCAGGGCAGAAGCTCTTACACCGGGAGGCTGCGGCTCACCCCCCGAGCTTTAAGCTA